CATATTATTAATATACATGTCCGGTCTGCGAGCCCAAACAGCACGTCGGTCGACCGGGCAAATTCCTGGCACGCCTGATTACCAGTACATGCCTGCTTTGAAATGGATTGGCGGGATCTGAGTAGTTCATTGAGAGAGCATAAGGTCAGAGTAGCTGAATGTACTTCACATTCATTTGAGTTTCTTCCTTGTCTTTTTGTCTGTTATAATTTTCCTGCCATCACTAGTATGCAGAGGTGTGAAAAATGCCAATGTTTATTACTGAAGCAGAAATATAAATCCTACTGTTTAAAAATATTCTTGTAGGAGTAGGGATGGATATCGAAAACCGGTCCCTGTTCAGAACCGGTTCTGTGTGTTCCAATTCCATGGCACCGTTTGGCAGCTCGCTTAACGGTTCTTTTAACACTTCCAGGCAGCACCACAGCCTAGCGCTGTGCAGCACCACCTACGTAACATTTTCTACGTAAGTTACGCACACGGCATAAGGTAAGCAAGTGCATAGGCGTAAGTCTAGAAAAGCAAAACAAAAAAAATGGCGTCAAATAACAGGCCATAACAAAGATGAGCTTGAATTAAACAAAACTAAGGAGTCTACTTTTAGAATGTAAGGAGTAGAAAGTAGAGATAATAGCAAAAATATTTCAAGAGTACAAGTGAAAAGTGGTCTAAATAAAAATGACTCCTGTAATAGCCCAACATTCTACTTAAGTAAGGTAAAAAAAAGTATTTGTACTTTGTTACTTGACACCTGTGCGCTTGCAGACCGCCTAGGACAGGGGTCTGCAACCTTTCATATCCAAAGAGTCGTTTTGCCCAGAGTCCGACCAAGTAAAAGTTTTTTAGAGCCGCAAAATATAACATGACTTTTTCTAGAAAACCTTTTTTTTTTTTTATCTTGCATAGGAAATCAGCTGTTGCCATCTCAAACAATCAACAATTCATGTATTTTTAATGTTAAAACATATATTTTCCAAGCTAATTCATAGAAAAATGTCTCTTAAAACATATTTCTGGTTCATTTACTCTCATTCTTTTCCATCTTATAAAAAACGCTAAAGCTATTGATACCGGTATATATTATAGTAAATTATTTAGCTCTTTATATACATTTTAGCTACTATTAAGAGCCGCTAGAGAGGGTCCAAAGAGCCATATGTGGCTCCAGAGCCGCAGGTTGCAGACCCCTGGCCTAGGAATACCAGGTGCTGTAAGCTTTTTGGCCAGCAGGAGCTGCTCTCGCTGCAGCACCCTGTCGCCTTTCAGCAAGCGTCTACTTTTGCCTTTCAGTCCTCTTTAAGGCCACAACAAAGCCAACATTTCGCTGGAAACCAGCAGGCAAAGAGGCACACACAAAAGTTGACATTTTATTAAGTCCATTTTACAGTTTTTCTTCTTTTTCCCTCTTGCTTGACTCTGTGTGTTTTGCTGCTTTCAGTTACTTTTCTCTCCCTTAATGTGATTTACAGGCTGCCATTGGAGAGTTGTTTCTTCATTTGCTGGCTTGAATTTAGCTTGAAAGTTGCTTGTTTTGTGGAATTTTCCAGTGGAGACAGTCTTGTTGGAATGGATGGGCGGGATCTGAGTAGTTCACTGGGAGAGCATCAGGTCAGAGTGTAGCGTCCCGCTTGAAAAGATGCTCTCTCAAACTGATGGTTCACAATTCCATTTTATTTATTTGCCTTGCTTGTCAACACACCGTAAGAGCTACAAAACACACAAATAAAATCCACATTAATAACTCAGACAGTGTGTTGATTTTTACCCTTTTTTACATCATCAATTTACCATGAATCATTTTTAACCTTCAATTATTACAAAATTATTACGACCCTTTTTCATCTGGATAATCCTTAAATGTAGTGCTATCACCATATTTTCCATGTATATTTAT